CTTGGATTGAGAGTATTTGGAAAACTCCACAATTTTAAGGCATTCATATAAAAATTAACATTTACAATCGTTTATTCACATTAAAATACACACATTTCATCAACCTATGAAAACAGTAAAGTTATTATTTTCGTGCAAGATTCGATGAAATCATATTCTGTTTATTACCTAAACAATGGAAATTAAAAGATTCTTCCTATTTAACTGAGGACGTTGGAATAATTTTATTTTATTTGACGCCATGTAAAACTCAAGAATATAACTCATTTTATAATACATTAGCAATACGATGAGCAAAGGACTTAATTTATTAGAGCATAAGTAGCATACTATCTTACATTTCTTCTCCAATCATCTATGACATATTTTCACTTTCTGGGGGAGTAATCATATTAGTTATATTGACTGATTATAGAAAGTTAATTTTGTGATTATTCAGTAAATTATTGATCATTAGTATAGGGAGATCAGTAGACACTGTAGAATCCTTATTGTTCAAATCGCAGACTGATTTTAACTAGACTACCATTAAAAACTTGCAAGCATCAGGTGACTACTTCATCCCGTATGAGACCGCTCAACCAACTTCTGAACCACTGAACCGGCATCCAACAGCCCTGGTATCTAACTTCAGTCGGTTCACATTATTGAGCGGCTCTCATCAATTGCCTGCAGTGGATAGCTGTTTCACATCTGATATGTATTGAAGTCCATTGGTCACAGCATTTCAGTGATGGTCCAGCTAAGACTAGTTCCTGAGTTAAACTATGAAAATGATCAACTAGTTACTATTAAATACTATTAAGTTTAATCCATACCAAACAAACTGTCAATTTGTTTGTAAATAAATCATATAAAAAGTATTCTATAAAGATATCGTATTGATTTATTTTAGGTGTCAGATAAGTCTTTATCTATTGCCTTTGTGTTCTTATATCCGTCATCTGATTTACTATTTTCAAAAGTAATTACCATGTCAGTTAATTATTCCATCAACACAATAATCATCACTAGTATGTTGGAACAAATTGTCTTAATCCAAACTCATTCATTTTGAATACTGTTCTCAATTAACCAATTAATCCTTACTTTCTTGAACCACTCTCAATGATAAAATTTTCTATTATTGAAAATTATCTATCTACACAATGATAAAACACATTCTTGACCACTCAACTTGACTTTATCGAGGTATACAGATTGAACATCGCAATTAGTTAAGCCCTTGGAATCAAAGAAATAGTGTGTTTTTTTGTATGTTATTACACTTTTATTTAGGATATGATCTTTTATTTTCATCTACACGGATTGATAAAGTGACACAATTTCGCTGAGAATTATATTATCCATAAATTATTTATTGAATGAATAATACATACACATACTTACGCTTGTCACCCCTCGTGGAAGAGAATATGCCACCCACCAGAATTCATAATAATAAAAAACATCAAGAAGACATCCAATCAAGAAAATAAAAATAAAATTCTAACGATAATTAAATTTTACTTCTTTATATTTTTATTTTGGAAAATAAAATCTTCCTAAAATAGTTTTATTTCAATGAACAATCAAAAAAATCATTTTCAACAATCATTATTCGATTCATGATTAAATAAAAAAAAAAAAGAAAAGAAGAAAGAAGAAGACTATTTAGTTTCATATATACAATTTACTTTAACAATGTAAATATCACTAATCTGTTAGAAGTGGTTTCGTGGGGATTTTAGTAATTTTATATAGTTGAAATTATGAGTCAGTTGAAGCTAGACCACCATGGAAAACCTGGAAGCAATAGTGCGAGACTGATAGGTTCTGGGCTCGAATCTCGTGAGGCGGGATTGTGGATACGCACTGCTGAGGAGTCCCATAATAGGACAAAACAGCCGTCCAGTTCTTTCAGTTCTTCCAGGGTAGTCTAGCTTCAATTGATTCATGATCTCAACTATACAAAAACACAAATCTTATCAAAATACAAATATTATGAACAATACTATTTAATATCAATCAATTCTTTACTGAAATATAAACAAAAAACAAAAACAAAAAGAAGGAACACTCTGTAGATCAATATGATATAAAATAGATTTAACTTATGAATTGTTGCTTATTGAATTGACAGTGATAAATTTTTCATATGATGTATTTATTCGTTGACTTTTTCTGCCTACCTACAGAAACTACTATTTACATAAACAAATAGTATATATATGTATAGTCTATTGTATTGCTTCAACATATAAATTATATTATCGGTAGATTATTGTTGATTTAATTCATGCGTAAGATTTAAACAAAATAATTTACAAATTAATCATTAATTAGATAAATGATTTAATAATGAATATCGTTTAAAGAAGAAAAACATTGAAAATTAATTTTGTTTTTTGTTGATAGTTTTAAGTTTTTAAATTTTGATCAGTTTGTAGATATTATAGTAATTTAATAGCAGGATTCATGAGTCAATTAAAGCTAGACTGATAGGTTCTGGGTCTGAATCCCACGAGTGGTATCTTGGATGCGTACAGCTGAGGAGTCCCATACTAGGACAAAACTGTTGTCCAGTGCTTCTAGGCTTTCCACGCTGGTCTAGCCTGAATTGACTCATTAGTTAAATCACTAAAATAACATTCATCAAATTTTCTTCCATTATTTTTTTTAATAAAATAATGTACTGACAATTTTTAGAACTTTGTCAGAAGAGGGTTTGGTGGAGATTTTTCTAATTTTATAAAGTTGTACTCATGAGTCAATTGAAGCTAGACCACCATGAAAAACCTGGAAGAACTGGACAGCCTTAACGTCCTACTGTGGGACTCCTCAGGAGTGCGCACCCACGACCTCGCCTCGAGAGATTCGAACTCAGGATCTATCAGTCTCGCGCTCATGATTTCAACTAAATAAAATTTTCAGAACTGTTTATATGGTGTTCATTTGATTACATAATGAATATTAATTAACAGTCAAAATAATACCTATTTGACTTTAACTGATATAAGTAAATCATAAAAGCAACTATATATTCTCTGAAAAAGTGGTTTACACTGAGTTACGAATAGTCAGAAAACCTAATTTTTTTCTATTCATTGAGATATGTAAAACATATTAACTTATTTGTAACAATCTACCTAATGCTCACTTTATTTGAAGTTATCAAGTCAAACCTTGGTAATGATACTACATGAGGACAACTGTTTAGACAGGTCGAATGAAATAAGGAACATAAACTATAATTCAGCAGGGGGTTTTGTGGATATTTCAGTATTTTCATAGTTGAAATCATGAGTAAATTGAAGCTAGATCATCATCGAAAACTTGAAAGCACTGGACGGCTGTTAAGTCTTATTGTGTGACTCCTCAGCAGTGCGTATCCACGATCCCGCCTTACAAGATTCGAACCCAGAACCTACCAGTCTCTCGCCAGAGCACTTAACCGACAAACCACTAAGCCGGCATCCAACGGTGTTAATGTCTAACTTCAATCAATCCATGGTGGTCTAGCATCAATTGACTAATGATTTCAACTATGAAAATAAACTATAATGTTCGTATATGTTTTCTATGAAATAATTGCACACTAAATTGGACATTGAAAGTTTACAAAATTGTGATTTTGAATAAGTTTCATAATAAATAGAATTATTTCATCAGCATTTTATATTCCTTAAGTTAACTGAAAACTTTAAGAACGTTAGTAATGAGTATTGGTTAATGTTGTCCAGGTTTGAAATTCCTGCACATATTGGAAATTTATTTGATCATGCTTGTACCACTGTCTGTACATTAAAAAAGTAATCATTCTTTCATTTTGATAGCTCGAAATTGAGTTTCTAAAAGATCCCTTTGAAGGAAACTAGAATATCAATCCCTTTGATCTTTAAGGATCGTCATATTTGAACTGTATCACAAAGAACATTGTCACCAGTATAAAATTTAGCATAAAACAATGGATTCGATAAAAAAAAGATGTTTTCCAAAAATATAACGTGGAAAAATTTTACTATCTAAGAAAATGACCGATTTGGTCATGATATTTTAACATTTTAGTATGTCAAAACCCAGTTAGTTTTCAGACTCAACACAGTGCAATGAATGTTTATTAACTTTCATTAAACTGAAAGGTTTTTCTTATTTGGCATTCATTCCAGTATTACATTGATTAAAATATGTTTGCATATTTTTACGAACATGTAAAGTATTTCAGTCTGATTCAATCAAATATCTATTTTAATTAGAAAGGGGTTTTGTGGATATTATAGTAATTTAATGGTTGAATTCATGATTTAATTATAGTTAGACCAGCATAGAAAACCTGGAAACACTGGATGGCCCTAGTACGGGATCATGAATGTGCACTGCCGAGGAGTTCCATGCTGGGACGAAATGGCCTTCTAGTGCTTCCAGGTTTTCCATAATGGTCTAGCTTTAATTGACTCATGAATTAAACTATTAAAATATCTATTTATTCATTTTTGAAGAACTTCATAAATAATAAGAATTCACGCTAACTGAACGTATTCCTTAACCCTAATCACTTTAACATGCATTACACTGCAAGAAATGATTGTTTACTATATTCAAATGTCGGAAAAATAACATCTTCATGCAATGTTGGATAGTGGTTAGCAGTGGAATACAGGACGCGCATTTCGTCCTATTTGAGACTCGTCAACTTGATGTACCTGCATCTCAGAGTTGATATTCACTCTGGGACTCGAACTCAGTAAACTACGCTTCAAATGCCATCGCGTTATCCACTCAGCTACTGAGTTCTGATAGCCACTTGCTTGTGCAATAGGGTGAAGTTAAAAAAAAATTTCAGTATTGTTTGTTTGAATCTTCTCAATAATAGACTGGCCAGTTGCAGTCCTTAACATCAATGGGTAGATTCAAACAAACAATACTAAATGAGTCTTCATATAATGTCTTTTACAAAACGACATGACTATCATTTTATTACAGTAATGATCTCAATATTTTGTACTTTTCTCTTTTTACAGTAATTATACCAGCATTAATGCAAACAGCTGCTGCATATGTATGGGCTGCACAAATACGTCGTGAATCAGTTATACCAACACAATTACAACAATCTAAAAAAAATCAATCTATATCAAAAAATAATAGTAATAAAATTCAAAAACAAATTAGAAAGCATAGATTACCAAAACAAGATCGAACATTATTTCTTTATCGTATTTTAGCATGTACTGCATCACTTCTTGTTCTTATCTTTTCTACATTACCACAGTTAGTTATTGTTGTTGCTAAGCCACAAATAGTTGATAGCATAGATAAACGTTGGGGTTGGTGTCATGCATTTGTCTATGCTGATCATGTTACAAGATGTTTTGCTAGTTATTTAATTGTAATACCATTTTTTTTATTATTTTGGAATTTTTTATTTAGTGAAATATTACCCCATCATCATTTAATTATGCGTAATGTATTTGAAGTTATATTAAAATCCTCCATTATTATAGCATTATTTTCATTATGTATACCAATACCCATTGTAATAAGACAATATGAAAGAATGTGTACATCGAATAAAATTTGTTTATGTGGGCCAACAATGCATGGTATAGCAACATTTATCTATTATGATTTTGTTATTACTCGTATTATTCCAGCTATCTTTGTTATCTTTATAAGTATTGGATTTATACGTTGGTTACCAAGAGAAGATTATGGGGTATTTTATGAACCAACAATATTTTTAGCATTTATGATACCACATGTATTATGTGAAGTGATTATACATATATTTCATCGTGCACATATAATCAATAAATTAATTAATGTAAATTTTAGTAATTTTATGCTATTATCATATGCATTATATCATATGTCATTTAGTTGCACATTTGTTTTGGCTACATTACGTTCAATGTTAAGTGAAATACAAGAGGAACGACGTAAAAGAAGTATGCTATTATATGATGAAACTACCTATGATTCATCTAAACAACAATCATCATCTAGTCGTAATAAAACTACCATTCGTATAGCTGATAATAATAACACGACTAATCAAATGCATGGAACTAAACGTCGTACAAATTTAATACATGGTTTACAAAAACAATTCTCTGTTGCTTATCGTTGGAAACCAGATTTTACTGATGAAGAAACTGGTTTTATTTCTGGACAATTAGATGAATTATCTATGGAACAATCAACTAATCAAAATATTTCTAGTATTAATGATAATGAATCAAATGCATTCGATATTGAAAATGAAACAAATGAAAAGTGTACAGATGATGCAATGTTACATTATGCTATATTACAAAGATCAGCTAGTTTAAAAAGAAAAGAACAAGAACAACGTATCAAACCACAAATTAATACTTCATATAATATTATGCGTAATTTAAATACACAACAACGTCAACCAAAACAACAACATACCATATTATATTCTATCAATAATTGATTAAATTAATGAATCAATCATTATTTCTTACATAAGATTACTATATTTGAGAAAAAATAATTTTAATCAAAAATGGGTTTTGTGGAGATTTCAGTATTTTCATAGTTGAAATCATGAGTTAATTGAATCTAGACAACCATGGAAAACCTGGGAGTACTGAACGGTCGTTTCGTTCTACTGTAAGACCCCTCAGCATTGCGCATCCACGATCCCGCCTCGCGAGTGACTGAATTCAAGGGATGTTTTTTGGAGTTCTAGTGAGAAGCAGTGACCTGTGGAGTTCAACCAAGTCTGTTGTGAGATAAGAACTCAATGAAGACAATTGGTGAACGGTTACTCAACTTCGTGGATTGGTTGAAGTTAGACATTAACACCTGTGGATACCGGCTCAGTGGTTTATCAGTTAAGTGCTCTGGCGCGAGATTGGTAGGTCGTGGGTTCGAATCTTGTGAGGCGGGATCGTGGATGCTCATTGCTGAGGAGTCTCACAATAGGACGAAAAGGCCGTCCAGTGCTTCCAGGTTTCCGATGATGATCTAGCTTTAATTTACTCATGATTTCAATTATGAAAAGGAAATTTATCAAAATGATAAACTCCATCGTGATAAAAAAAGCCAAGTTTTTTTCATTTTGTAATAGATAAAAATATTTTTGTTTTTTTAATATTCCCCTTAGAATTTAATTTACTCTTATTTAATTGATTATGTTAGTTCAATTATACGGTTCTATTTGTAATATTAACTAAAATTGTTCACTTAAATTGTATTATGTTATTCCTTATTTGAACAGTTTGCTAAGTCACAAGTTATTAGAACTATATTGAATGTAACTAGAATTCATTAACTTCATCATTCTGAGATATATTCAGTAATATCTATATATTGTAAATAAATTACCTTTATGCAAACATTTAAATACTATTAATTATGTATATGAGAAAAAAATTTCTCTGATGTCTGTTATGAATTACCCTATGTAAATTAATTGATTTGATGGAAGTCTTATTCGGTTTAATAAAACATTGACTTGTAAGAATTTCCCATATTCACATAACTGGGGACAATATATTTGATTAGATCATAGTTTCACTGACTCTGTTTATATACATCTTCTTTAAGGAAAACTATAGGTGTGTAGATGAAAGGTTATAAAGACATACTTCAACAGAAAACATCTATTTAAAAAATCCTTAAAATGTAACTCGTGACATAGACGAAGTAACTACGAAACAATAATGTAGGTTAAAGTGTTCTTAGTACTTCATACTTGTTAGGATGGGATAAGATAAGAGATCATATTTTAGTTAAATGTGATTTTTGTTCAGTGAAACACTTTTTTCTATAAATTTAGTTTATACTTTGTTTATTGGAACTTGCAAGATTTGTTTTGTATGAATTCAGTGTAAAATTTATTTCTGTACTTTCACAATTTCATTTATGTATGATATTCGTCGACTAATCACTATCAAATGCAAGTAAAACCTGACTACAAATGAATTTATCCCCCTAAAGCTGTTATCCTACTTTTGGAGGGTGAATAAAATCTTTATCTGCCATCGGTTTTTATATTCTTTATGTCATGTGAATTTTAACGTACTAACGTTTAAGGTATTAGCTTTCAGTTATAACAATACTTTGTTGCATTCATCACAACTTCTTCAATTTGCTACATCTAATAAATGTTAGAATTATGTTTTATTAGCAACTTGACTACTAACTAAATTATTGTCCGTATCAGTTGAAAGTAAATCTTGCAGTTTTCAACAATAATCTAAAGGTAACCACTATCCTTCCTATCTTATTTCTTAAGTAGTCTTTATTTGGGCCTTTTGTATATTGAAGTGGTAACGACAAAGATGTTTTAAATAAAGTAACACCGTAAACAAATTATCCAACAGATACCTTAAGCAAAATTCCAAAATATTTTATGTGACGAACAAACTAATAATAATGAAATTTGATTAGAATGGATTATTACTGCATATAATAAGTAAATTTCGGCTAATTTTATTCAACCCTTTGATAGTGTTTATGACCCCCAAATGCCCCAGTATGGCCAAGGGAGGGGAGAGTCAGTTCTCCCTCTTGAAACGCCCTCACATGGACACGTATATACAGCCACCGTCAGGAAAGTTCTACTCACTTCTCCTAACACCAGTATTGTTTAAGGAATTGAGAAGACGAAAAACGAATATCCAACGCTTTAACCGTGCTGATGGATACGGAGAGTCCACCTAGGGCAGTTGAAGTACCCCCACTCCAAACCAATGGTGCACATAGGTTTCAGTGTCCTGAAGGAACAAATTGTGTATGAACCAATCTTTGATTACCGGCTACGATGCGACTGCATTTCCTTACGTTGCTCGACTACTTTGTGGATCAGACGTTCAAGTCGAATGTTCCGGATGTGACTCTCTAAGGAAACCACCAGTCTCGGTTCGGGCACGCAGGCAGAACGATAGCTCACACTTGGCGAATATATGTTTCCGGTACTCCTTTGTGCTAATATTTATGTGTTCAATTAAATAAATATACATAAATACATGCAATTACTAACATACATCAATTTTGTAATTTGTGGCATCTTCAGGATAATTAACTTTCGGTTTACTTGTTACTGCGAAACACGTTGACGATCATATGGGGGTTTATTCGACAAGCGAAATAAACGAAACTGATATTTGCATACGCTACTTTTTTATGACTTATTTACAGATAGCTTTGTGTGAATCGAAATGAAGTGCATTTAGCACCAATTAATTAATAACTAATTGCTTCAACACATTTACAATATCGTAAAACTAAGCGTCTATAAGCGACAAATATAACTGATTGACCTAGCTACATGATAAATCCTTAGGATGTGATTACATGTTACAGGTGATCGGAAAAACTAAATGTCGTCTATTACTCGAAGTCTAATCACTTAAGTAATTTCTCTCTATAACCTAATTGAATGTCTTGTTATTAACATAAAATTAAACTACTTCAAAGCACTGATTGTTTCAGCCATGCTTAACTATTTGTAACAATTCACTTATTAATATTATTGTTTTACCCATACATCATAAATTAGTTAGAAGGAACATGACCTAATAGATATGTAGAATAACATTCATCAAGAATCATACTAATAGTTAGTCGATAATTTGTAGATCACGTGTCCTCACAGAGTAGGTGATTGACAATTGTCTTATTCTCCTACCAATCTTACTGTCCTCCACTGAGAAGTGTATCTCATTTTGAAAGCACTGTATTGTTCGATGCTTTATCACTAGAAATATCCGTTAACAGTACGTAAGCAAACTGTAAATATTTTACAATTCTAATTAAACACTTTAGTGCATAATTTGGCTTATATACTGAACAAATTATGATTAGCCAGATGTTGATTTAGACGATCTATCTCATTGTATGAATGTATAAAGTTACGTCAAAATATGCAAAACTGGTTATTTAGGGATTAAAGCACTCAAGTATCAACCAATAGAATGCCTCCTCAAACCTTATTGCAAAGACTTTGTCTCAGTCATTTGGTTGGAAATACTAGCCCATATATACATTATAATTCACTGCCTCGTAAATAAACGTAAACTCGCTAAACGCTTTACATTGTCAACTATATTATTATTCATACCAAAAATCATTACTTTAAATCATGGTTATATCGTTTTTAAAAAACTAACAACGACTGGTCAGTATTTTATGTAAGATTATGCTCAATGATATGCATATTTTTCCCTTATCAAATCTAAAACAACCTTTTACTAAAACGGAAACAGAAAATATAGTACACATCCACGATACTCTGTACACTCGATGTTGAAGTTGCTATCTTGTTAGCTATGTCATTTAAGGTCCAACATGGCTAAAAAACATAACAGATTATCTAAATGATACGGTGATAGTAGAGTAGACAATTAGTGATATCTCACAATGGTATAAGTATTAGGATTATAAATTCTACCCTTAAAATACGTTTCATATGAGATAACGTTAAACGATGCATGAAACGTAAAAAATAATAATAGTGGATATAAATACAGTGAATGAACAGTCAAGTGGGAAAGATCAGTTTTTTGTTCCATACATAATCACACAATGTTCAACTATTGATAAGACTTTTGTTATCGTAATTTATTATTCTTACTGCTATCAAAACACCTGTCTTCCCGAATAACATTAAGGTCACGTCGATTTTTTTTGATACATTTTTTTGTCCTTCTTAATCAAAAAATTATCAACTTGTACTTCTACCTATTATGCTCGATGACGTATTCTATTTCATTGTGATTATTGACTCAAATTACCTTGATTAGTCTAACATTTTCGTATGAATGTTCATGTACATTAGAGTAAAGCCTGATGATGATCCAATTGAAAACAATTGTTCACTTACATGTGTTGTTCTAATTTTCACAGTAGGAATTTTTGATATTCTAAAATCACACAATGGTTTAGTAAAATATAAAAATCATACATCAAATACATCATTTTCATATCTTCTTTAAATTGTCTCCTACAAGCTTCATTGTTTTTTTTTCATTCATGTCGTTACTTTGATTGCTTTCAGTTTCCTTCTCTCTTCTCTTCATTTAAATTTTCTTAACCTTCTACTCGTAGACATTTCACTTCGAAATGATGTCACATACTACTTATACTTACCAACATAAGTAGCTTACATCATAGAAATACTATTTAAATTACTGATCAAAACTTAATTATTCGAATAAAGATTATCCAAAGGTTAGATAATGAATGCATTATCAAGGTATATAACAAGTTTACTTTCAAGAATTAATCTACATTTATTCCCAGTTAAGGTGATTTAACCAAGGGATTAGTATGTAAACATTAAAATGAAACATAATTTATATTAAAATAGTAATCAATTCATTGTTGATTCTTGCATAGTGATTCCAATTCTTTGAAGCAAATCATTATTATTATTATTACGACATTTATCACAGTAAAATTAAGGTCATGGTCAATATGTACGTACAATAAACACATGTAACACAGCATGATAAAAAGGGTTAGTGTAATTTGCCTTATTGGCATTCAATTATTTTAAAAGATTATATTTGTTTCAGGGATATACACAAATCATCGGTCAATAATACATTTATATCTATAAAACAGTAATTTACAAATAATGATCTGATATGGGAAAATTTGAAAATCTGTACTTTTTTCTTAATTATTCATTACTCCTATTCAAATCACATCTAGGTCTATTTAATGAATTGAACTGAAGCTACTTTACTAATTAGTGAACAACATTATAGTATGTAGTAAGTCCATTCAACTACTAATACTCATAAATATATAAGAATTTTTAACACTAACACACACTCATTTGTTTCCCTGTGTGCTTGCTTTCTGCAAGCTTATGAATTTTAATAATCGTTAACAATAAACTCTCTTTACAACTGGTGTTCATGCTATTGAATAATCTCAAGTAAATTTATAATACTACTAGTGTGGTGTGATCTACTTATAACCACATAAGTAGCATATGAAGATGGTCAGATATCGATAAAGAAAGAACAGGAATGAAGCGCAATTGGTAGGAAAATGCATGAACAATGAAATAAGAGAACATGGACTGATATTTGCAAAAGGAACAGTGAAGATTGATACAATTTATTGTTATTTTGCAAATTAACTGTTTACTGTATGGTTATCAAAATTTAGTGAGATAATCTGTAATTTGGGCTTAAATACATTCGATTGTTCCCACTCGTGTTTTTGTTCACTACACTAGGAGATTTAGCCTGCATTAAATGCATAATTAAGGGGATGTCAATTATTGTAGTCAGGCATTACCTCTATAAGTGTACCATAAAATTACCAAAAGTGATGAAATTTATTAGTTGATTTAGCTGGTATTGACTAAAATGACTTTGATTAGCTTACCAATAAAGTTAACCCCATATTTTTATTCTATTGACATTGGTCTAGTTTGAAAATAATTTTGTAAACAGTTCATTAAAGATTTTCATACTAGCTCATATTTTGCACAGTGCAC